TGTGTGTGTGTGTGTGTGTGTGTGTGTGTGTGTGTGTGTGTGTGTGTGTTTCTTTTGTTTTTGAGACAGAGTCTCTCTCTGTCCTCCAGGCAGGAGTGAAGTGGTGCTATCCTGGATCACTACAAACTCTGTCTCCCAGGGTCAAGTGATTCTCCTGCCTCAGCCTCCTGAGTAGCTGGGACTACAGGTGCACGCCACCATGCCTGGCTAATTTTTGTATTTTTAGTAGAGACAGGGTTTCACCGTGTTGGCCAGGCTGGTCTTGAACTCCTGACCTCATGTGATCTGCCCACCTCTGCCTCCCAAAGTGCTGGGATTACAGGCCCCAGCACCATCTCACCATTTCTTAACTAGCACTTCCCTAGCCAGGTCGTGGGCTTCGCTCATTCCACATATTATTTTATTTGTTGATAAGGTTTTATCTCATTGTTACTTGTTTCTTTGAACACCACTGCCACCTCAAAAATAGATCAAGTATGAAAGCACTTTGAACATGTAAGGTTTTCTATATACTTAATGGTTTTTAAACTGCTCTTGGGAGCAGTTTAATTATCATATGATAGAGAAAAAAATCAGATATGCTGTCAGAGGACATGGGCTACCACTGACTCCACCTGGCTGGGAGATCATGAACTGTTAATCGCTATGAATTGCCACTTCTTCATCTATGAAGTTGAAATAATAAGTCCATCTCTCTTATAGCATTTCATTTATCCACCTACAAAAAAAATCCTATATGCTCATATTTTGGCCGGCACTTAAGTGACAATTAGGACCAAATGATTCAAACAAAATAAATACACACAGAGAACAGAGTTCTAGTCCCAAGGAGTTCACAGACAGTGAAAGCAATATATATAAAAGCAAAAACATACAATATACCATGATAATTGTTGTAGTAGAAGAATTTACTGAGTCCTATGCACTTTAACCATACGGGTGGAAGTCAAGAAAGATAACTCTTGAGCTGTGTCTAAAGAATGTTTGGAGTATTCCAGGCAGAGGGAACAAAGCATATTTATTTGAGGGTGAGGCCTGAGTGCTGCCCAGCAGTTTTCCATATTGTTGTTTCAGAAGCTTTTCTCATTTCTTCAGAGAGGTGAACTTTTATTCGCCCCACCTGTCTGACTCCACTACCTCCATATTTTCATCCTCACAAGATAACCTTGACTCCTAATGCCTATAAAACTTCGAAGTCATTACATGAGTACTTCCTGAACTTCCTTTCTGCATACCTAACATTAAATGTTCATCTGCTGCCATTTCCCCAGCGTGGACATTTCAATACCGTTCTCCGCTTGTATCCTGATTCCTTTCCCACTTCCCACCCCCACATCCTTCCCAGAGATGTGACTTCATCCTGTATTCATCTCTCGCCTCTTCAGTCATACCTTCTTCATTAACGACTCCTCACCATCGGTATGTAAACACGCTTGCCTCTGCTATCAACAACCCACCCCCACCACACACACAGCTTTCTTCTTCCCACTTCCTCTTACAGATTCAGTCTATCCCCTTCCCTGATCAATCTACAAAACTGTCTCCATCCCTCAAACCACTCTGGTCTGATTTCTGCCCTCACAGCCCTATTGAAGCTGTCCTTGTCCAGTTCACCAAAGACCTCCTTGTTACATATCTTCAGTTCTCATAACACTATACACTTCCTTTGTTCCCCTCCTTTCCCCTTGACAGCACTCTTTAAAGTACTATTTATGTCCACCTCTCTTCTCAGGGCATACCCTCTCCATGCACGGTTTACATGATCATTTACTTGCTAACTCCCAAATCTCAACCTCATTTCCTTTCTAAACTTCAGACCTACTGTATTATTCTTGTCCTGCTCAGGACTCTGAACTTTATTGAGCTCATTAGAATCATTTAAAAGTTTCTTTAAGCAGGAGACTGATTGAATCATGTCTGCGTTTTAGAACTATTACTCAGGAAAACGTAAGAAATACGTTAAAGGAATAAGAAACTGGAGTCAAAGGGACTGAGACATCTATAAGGCAAGTGAGAGAATGTGGTAGAGAATGGAATGCCATAGTAGGTCTCCTTACCTTGAACGGGGGACTGGAGTCACTTGGCCTTGCAGAAAAGTCAAAGGAGATGATGAGATCAACCCCTCTCTGAGGTCTCAGTATCAAAGGATACGGCAGGTTAAATGTGAGCCCGCTGTCCACTACATGAATCTTTTTACTTTTGACATCCAGGGGCTCATATATTCGCTCAAATTCATCAGGATCTTAAAAAAATAAAAGAAAAACAAGAATGAATTAAATGATCATTCATCCGTATTTATCAGCTAAAAACTTTTGTTTAAAATTTGAAAGACAGAATTTCATATGATTAGGCCCTTAGGCTTTGGAGACAAATAGAGCTGCGCATGAGACCAACTTTAGCAATTGTAACATTATATTTAAGTCTTAGTTTCTTCACCTGTAGCATCAGGACAAAAGTAATTATCAAATAAGGTTGCTGTGAGGATTTACTGGGATGAGGCCTGGAAAGCACTTAGCTCACATGCTGGTATTAACTCTAAGCTGGGATCATGTGAACAGTATTATCGTATATGGCATAGGTCTTTACAGGTTTCTAAACATTTCCTCATGCATAATCTTGTTTAATTCTTATCACAGGTGAGGCAGAGGACAGCTGTAATGGAGGGCGAAGCCAATGAAGAGTCTCTCAAAGCTGGCATCACAGGGAGGTGGCAGACTCTACGGATCCCATGCTGCCTCTCTCGGGGGTGAGTGTGCATTCCACCACAGGGTGGGAGTCCAAGAAAATCATGCAGCCAACACGCTCTGCAGATATGTCTACCACCATTCAGATTCGATTCTAGATGCTGAACAAGATAGATGCACGCTCTTCTCTGATAGAGTTCATATTGTGAGTACACAGCCAATAAGTACATAAATGTATGAAGAGGACAGTTCCTAAAGCGATCAATGCCTTGAAGAAAATGATCAAGGACACTGTCATAAGGAGTCACGTCAGCTGAATGGTCAGGGGAGATGTCTCTGAGAAGGAAACCTTACCCTGAAACAAGAATAATGGTATGGAGCTGCCATCTAAAGACTGGGAGGGTGGGATCCAGAGGTTTCCAGAGAGAGGGAGGAGCTAGAGCAAGGGTCCGAAGGCAGAATCAGGCTGGGTGTGTTTGAGGAGAGACAGCAGGGAGCCCGCAGTCTGAGGACAGGATGGGAGGAGATCAAAGTGAGATGGCAGGGGTCTGAAGAAACGGAGGGCCTAGAGATCATTAATTTCATGAAGAAATAATACTGATAACATGCCACCCTTCGTGTGTATGTGTGGTGCTCCTAATTCACTTGCCAGGAAAACAAAACATGACCAGAAGGGAACTGGTTTGAACTGAACTGAATAAAACACCATGCAGCTGCTTTTCTCTGTTACCTGTCCACACTCTCATTTCCTCTGCTATTAGGAAGAAGGCTGGCTACGCCCAAGAGGGAGGCCTGTGACAGTAGAATGAAGTGAAGATGGTCACACCAGATACAACTATGTACATATGACCTGATACATATGTACACACATACACACTCAGCACACAGTAGGAACCGAGTGTATGTTAGCTTCCCTCCATATGTTTCTAAGTAAGAATAATACTATCACTCTATAGTCAGTTTTATTATGTTTTAAGAGCATGAAACCAAAAAGGAAAGAAAATCTTTAAATTCTTCCTGTCCAATTAAATCCATAATCCTCACTATCAGTAAAGGTTGAAAGAAAAACATCGAGACAGTCATAATATTTTATTCAGTGTAAAGTGAAAAATCAGACTTCAGCATAGTTTTTAATACTAAGAAACATTAATATCCTTCTAACTTTCTACAGGTAGCAAAGTCATCTGTTTTCTCACATCTATTAAAAATTCCCTTTTCTAAAATGGGATAACATATAAATGTTACAGACACTTACTAGTGATGCTTATAAATAAGGAAGAGTAAATTTTATGACTGAGGCAATTCATACGGCCCAGAATAAGTGATGCAAAGAGGAAAGGTGTGAATAATGGTCTTGAATTAAAAACAACTATGCTGAAAATAAAGCTATTTTTAAAAGCAAGTATAAGGTAATATGGCCAAATAATAAAGGCTTGCTGTGTCCAAAGCTAACTTATAGGGCAACAAAGAGAGAGAAGAGAAATAGTTCTTTAAATAATTACCTGTAGATCAATTCTCATTTCTTAATAAGTATCTACAGACAGTCATGAGAATGCACTTTGCCACCAGCCATGATACTAGACTATCTATCACAGAACCAGGAATGTAAAGATGTAATACTGAAATATATAAAAAGACTGTCAAGCCAATTTTTGACATCTATTCCTCTGAAATTTTAGTTTAACAATTGCATATGTGAACATCTTAACGGTAAAAATAGTGAGTTTTTGGATTAAATTCATTTTTAAACATTTTACTAAAAAGATGGAAATTCATTAGTTGGTTACTCATAGTTCTCCTCATGGTGACTTCATTTATACTGAGTCTATTATGCATCAGAAATTTGATATATAAGATTTATTATTCTTACAAGACTCTTACAAAGGAGACTAAAGATAAGAAAACAGAATCTTACAAAGGAAGTAGCCATTTTAAAGATAAGGAAACTGAGGCTCAAAGAGGTAAAATAAATGGTCTATTTTCAAACAGATAGTGAGAGTCAAAATTCCAATCCAGGTTCACAAGGTCTAAGCCCTAAGCACAGTGTCACACTATTACTTTAGAAAGTGGCATGACTGAATAAGAGGGTTTAAAATGAGTAATATAAAAAATAATAACTACAAAGTATAGAGGCTCTCAGCACATAATCCTATCACATATTTAAACCACATTAATATGTGTATTTTATCACAGTTAAACCTAACATTTAAAAACACAATCATGGCAGCACAGCAGTCCCTACTTACTTGGGGGGATATGTTTTAAGACCCACCCAGTGGATGTGTGAAACTGCATAGAACAAATCTCTACATATACTATGTTTTCTCTTACATATACATACCCATGATAAGGTTTAATATATAAATTAGACACGGTAAGAGATTAACAACAGTAGTAAAAAAAGAGAACAATTGTAACAATATGCCAGTATCCCTACTCTTGCACTTTGTGGCCATTTTTCAGTAGAAAAAACAGGGTTACTTGAATACAGAGATGTGATACTGTGACAGCCAATCTGATGAACTGAATGGCCACGGAGTCACCAATGGGCAGGCAGCGTATTCAGCCTGGACAGAGATGTTTCACCTCTCAGGGGGAATGGCATGAGGGTTCTTTATGCCACTCACAACTGCATGCAACTTAAACACTGAACTATTTATTTCTGGAATTTTTTTATTTTTTTCAAACTGTGGTCAGCCACAGGTGACTGCGGGTAACTAAAACTGAGAAACCTGAAACCCTGAGTAAGGGAGGAAGGATTACTGTGTTTTTACATGCAATGCTTTTCCCTGCTCTAATGCAAGTATAATTACAATTCGTAAATTTGGGGGAGGGGGCTTCATAAACTCAGTTTTTAAAACGGTTTTAGCTGAAAGTGTGACAAAAAACAGATCATTTCTCTGATATCCTGTTTGCTTTGTCCCTTAGCAGGAAACTGGTAGTGACCTTCTATTCTTTCTCAAATCCAAGAGGGAGTACATTTGAGAGAAAAATCATGTGGACCAATTCCCAGCTTTGGTTTGTAACTAAACACCACCATTCCCACCTTCAAGATAAACTGACGGTAAGTAGTGTTCCTTTTATTTTCTGTTTTATGTTTGAAATGATTTTTATTTGTAGACAAATAATAATTGTGTGTATTTATGGGGTACAATGTGATGTTTCATTACATGTATACATTTTGGAATAATCAAATCAAGTAATTAAGATATTCATAACATCAAATATTTATCACTTCTTTGTGGTAAGAACATCTAAATCCTCTGTTTTAGCTATTTTGAAATACACATTATTATTAACTCAGGCACCATGCTGTGCTGTACATACACAGAACTTATTCCTCCTGTCTCACTGAGACTTTGTGTCCTCTGAGTAAGGCCTCCTCTTTCTCCATCTACTGCCTCCTCCACAAATTCCCCCCAGCTTCTGGTAACCTTTATCCTATTTTCTACTTCTGAGTTCAACTTTTTCAGATTATACATTACCAGTGAAATCATGTAGTGTCTGTCTCATTTCACTTAGCATAATGTCCACTAAGTTCATCCGTGTCACAAAAAACAACAAAAAAAACACAAAACCAGTAAGCAGTGTTTCCTAACTGTGTTGCAAAAAGCCTAGTTATGCAAGATATAAACTGATGCCTCATATACAGAATAAGAGTGCCACGAGTAAATAAGGTCACATCTACAGAAAGGCAAAGTTCAACAACTTAAAGCACTAGCCAGTGATATTGCGCATTCCCTGTTCTCCTTCCTATGGCTGTCACTAACAGCACTTTACAGTCCTCAAAATAACTCTGTAACATAGGTACCATTATTATTTTTATTTTATAAATAAATTGAGGTTTAGGCTAAGTGACTGGCTAAGACTGCCTGCTAGTAAAGGGTCCAACTGAGATTCAAATATCGGCCAGTCTCCTTTTAAAGTACTATCCTCAAGCACCTGTAAGACTTAAACTCAGGAGGGTATCTCACTGTATTTGAAAAGGGAGATTGAGTTGTACATTTTTCCAACTTTATTTGAACTTGAACCCGATTTATTGTATAACATCTACTAAAATGTCGTAGAGTATTGGGTAAATGCCACTATGGAAGAATATCCACCCATAATTTAAAAACATACAAGGATTCTAAACTTGTGAATCAGTTAATGGGGTTCTCTGATGGTTGTGGAAACATAACTCTGTTTTAGAATTATGTAACAGTTCCTTAAAGCAGATCAGCTTTGGTTATTTGTAAATGGTCATTTTATAAATACATCACACAGCTTCCATGTTCAAATATTTGGATGTCTGTGTTTTGAACTCTGGCCTAAACTAACTCATGTCTTTATTTCTTATTTCCAGATGGTGTGTGTCACAGTAAATAGGATAAACACAAAAGTAAACAGGAAACAAGTCATATGACTCATGAAAAGCTCTCCAAAATTTGTTTCCACAGGTACACAACTATTTTGCAGTAAACTCAGGAGGGGAATTTTATCATATTGCAATTGCTATTGTTTACAAAATATAGTCCGCAAGGTGAAGTAGCAGGCACAAAAATAGTGCACTTTTCCTGATTTTAGGTTGAGAGACTGATTTAATTCTAAGATACTCAAACTTTAATTTATATAAACATTTTTCTAACATAATATCTAGATTGGATAAAATCTTTTTTTGCATGGGGGCTGCAAAATTTAAAAAAATGTGCTTAATTAATGTTTCAAATGTGGCTAAAAATTTTAGTTGGCATTCTTTAAAATAGGAATTTTAAGGAAGACCTTATGAACCAAAATGATCACAGTTTGTGATAAATGTTTTAACTTTTCATTCCAAACATATGATTATTCTAAAAATTGGAAACTACCAGAGGGAGGTAAAGTAGATCTACCTTTGCAAGGACCTTTTCTGAAAAAGCACTAGTCAATTCAGTAAATTCAGTCTAAAATGAAATTATTTTTAGCAATGTTGGCCTGTAAATAATAAAGTTGAATAAATCTGTGAACTGACTGAACTGACTAAATTTTTAACTGAAATCAATACCCCACATACATGTTTTTCTATTAAATACATAAAAATGAATAAAATGTAATTTAAATAAAATGCACACTGAGAAATAAAATTTAAAGTTCTTTCCAAACATCATTAATTTAAAATAATTTTAGTTTAGAACATTTTCAAGTATCTCAAAAAAACTGGTTTATATAATGCCACATTTGGGGATGATTGATAGTTTATAACATAAGGAAATTATGTTATTTCATGAAAACTGTCTATAACTCTTCTTTCAAAGGGCATTAAATGAAGAAAGGAGTCAGACAAGGTGATGTACAACCATTATTCTCCAAATGCGAACACCCACATTCAAGTCATATTCCTTTTTTTGTTTTGCTTTTGAGAATAAGTCTCAGTCTGTTGCCCAGGCTGGAGTGCAGTGGCGTGATCTCAGCTAACTGCAACCTCTGTCTCCCAGATGCAAACAATTCTCCTGCCTCAGCCTCCCAAGTAGCTGGGTTTACAGGCATGTGCCACCACACCCAGCTAATTTTTATATTTTTGTAGAGACAGATTAGCCAGGATGGTGTTGAACTCCCGACCTCAGGTGATCTGCCCACCTTGGCCTCCCAAAGTGCTGGGAGCCACTGTGCGCAGCCCTCAACTTATATACTTAGTCTTGCAGTTGTATCCTCAATTAATGTTGATGGAGCCTCACTAACTTACTGTTCTGTCAGAATCAGCGTTCTATATTTTAGTTTTACTCTACTTTTCCATCACTGTTAACGAAAGTAAAGTACTTAAGTCCTCCCATGAATGACAACTTTGAGGAAAGGCCATTAAATGATTTTAATCTTTATGAGGCCAAGGATTCTATCTATCTTATTGACTACTGGATCCCAAGAACCAAGCACATTGTAAGTACTCAATAAATAAATCTAAGTGAATGAAAGAATGAACAAAAGACAGAAGGAAGATGAAAATGCAAAATAATTTAAAAGGAAGAGGTATACTTCCTAAAGTTCCCAAATTTAGCTAATAAAAATACAGGATGCCTGGTTACATTTGAATTTCAGATAATCAACAATTATTTAACGTACGTCCCAAATGCTGCAAAAATCATGTATAAATTATTTATACACATATCTAAAATTCAACTCTAACTGGGTATTCTGTATTTTATCTGGTTACCCCAACACCACCAAATCTACATAAAATATTCCAGGTCTACCAGGAAGTTTTTAAAAATGTGCTGTGAAAATTTCATTATGTTAACTATAATGAAATTCTAATTGAAATTGAAATTCGAATTTAGTGACCTTTGAAAGAAGAGTTATAGACAGTTTTCATAAAAGAACATAAGGAAATATAAACTATCAATCATCCCCAAATACGGCATTACATAAAGAGCTGTGCTGGCTGATGCAATACAAGTAATAACGTAAAACAGATGGAATAAAGAATACGGAAAGAAAACTTCCATTTTTACATAAGTGGGTGACTAAGAAAACCAAGGGCAGCTATGGGGAATGCTATGTGGCCAAGGGAAAGGCTTAGAAGCAATGTCAAGAAACCTGTGTCCCAATCTCAACTCTGTGGGGAAATTTCAGGCAAAGATGATAGAATTATCTTCTTTGATCTTCCTTTTCTATAGAGTAAAATAACTGAAGATTCACTCTATATCGACATGCTGTATGAGTTTGTAGTTTTTTTTAAGCTCATCATCATTCATCTATAAAGCATACATTTCTGGAAGAGACATTTAATTGGCATTGCGATGGCAATAAGCATAGTTATGTGACTAAACAAAAAAATAATGTCACTGAATGTAGAGTTAAGTATATTCTTATTTTGGATGAATTTACTGACTTGATGACAGAATTTCATTATAGTTAACACAATAGTTAGTATACTATACAACTTAGTGAATCCTGTTGGGATTATAGGTATATAATCAGACATACCTCATATCCTAGTTTAATGCCATAAACATAAAAAAATATATATAACGAGTTTGCACTAATCTTATTTAAACAACAGGGGTCATTTTTGCCTCTACAATTCCTTTTAAGGGGTCAAACAACAGAAAGAAACAATACCAAAACAACAGCAAAATCCAAAACTATATCCTAAATTTCACAAGTATGTTCTAGGTATGATGCTTAAACAAAAGGCAGTAGAAATTTTTTTTTGGAAATAGCCCATTTGAATTTTTCCTGCATCTAGTCAAAATGTCTTTAGACAGATATGATTGACGAATAACATTTGGACATTAAGGAAAAGATGATGGTGTGGTGAACTATAAAAACTTAAGATGACAGAATTATCACCAAAAAATTGTTATGTATTGATTGGTCACCAAAGCAGATTTAACTTTAAATCTGTAACAGGCATGGAATTGAAGCCCAAAGGGAATTATTCTTGAGGATTTGGCTAAGTGACAAATCTGAAAGTGACTAGGTTCTTGCTGGGCAGCTTTAAGAAAGTTACCTAACCTTTCTGAGAACAGGAGAGACAGATCCAATAGCCTAATGAACAGCACAGGCTGGCTGACTCACGCCCTACATTGCACTAGGGAGTCAGGCTAAGGAATGTGTTTGCCAGAGTCCCTTACAGCTCCAGTTCTCCTGAGACCTGGCCTCTACCAAAGAGAAACACTTGCATAAAACCTGAAAAAAAAAATGAGACAGAAGCTACACTTCTGCTATTTCCTCTGCCAAGCATAGTTGCCAAGGCATTTATGGGGATGATTCTGAAGTACTTTTTGAGTCATTCCTGAAAGCTCAGCCTAAAGCTTGCTCCCTCAAGGTTTGGAACAATTTTATAAGCACTTAATTCTCTTCCTCAAATCCCTTTCAGAAAATAGGAAGTAGTTTCCTAATTTCTTCAAATGAACTGTGACTAGTACAGAGAAAATCTAAAGTCCCCCTCAATATTTTTTTTTTCTTGAGACAGAATTTCGCCTTGTTGCCCAGGCTGGAGTGCAGTGGCATGATCTCGGCTCACCGCAACCTCCTCCTCTGCGTTCAAGAAATTCTCATGCTTCAGCCTCCTGAGTAGCTGGGATTACAGGTGTGTGCCACCACGCACAGCTAATTTTTTTGTTGTTGTATTTTTTTGTTTTTTTTAGTAGCGGTGGGGTTTTACCATGTTGCTCAGGCTGGTCTTGAACTTCTGAGCTCAGGTAATCTGCCTGTCTCAGCCTCCCACAGTGCTAGGATTACAGGCATAAGCCACCGTGCCCAGCTGTCCCCCTCAACATTTGAATGCAGATTTTCTATACTGACGTGCAGATCATTTTCCATCCAATGTAAATTTTTCTTTAAAAAAAAAAAAAAATCCAGGCCCGGTACAGAGTGGCTCCTGCCTGTAGTCCCAGCACTTTGGGAGGCCAAGATAGGAGGATCACTCAAGCCCAGGAGTTTGAGACCAGCGTGGCCAACATGGCAAAACCCTGTGTCTATGAAAAAAAAAATTAGCTGGGTATGGTGGTACACACCTGTAGTCCCAGCTACTCAGGAAACCGAGGCAGGAGGATTGCTGCAGCCCTGGAATTTAAGGCTGCGAAGAGCCATGATTGTGCCACCGGGAGACTGAGTGAGAACCTGTCTCAAAAATACAAAGAAACAACAACAAAAATAACTCTAATAATTTGAAGCCCTTCACACATTAAATGCAGCTTGTAATAATTGAGAATACATGAGGGTTAATAATAATTAAAATGCCTCTCTCCAGACAAAGAATACAGATCTCCTGAATTAGCTCCCACGGATTATACTTTGTGCACTTACCTGCTACAGCTGCATCCAGTTCATCATCATCAAAGGAATCCTGTGTGGCAAAGTCACTCAAAGGAGACAGTGGATAAGATGTATTGAGATTCAAGCCCAGCATGAAGTTGTGCACCTTCCCAGCACGTCCTTCTCTGGTATTGAATAAAGCTGAATCACTCACCAAGGCCATTATCATACGATGAATCCAACTGGCTTGGTTATCGCTGTTGTAGTCCCTTCTAGCATCTTCATTTTCAATGCCTAGGGAAAAAGAAAAGATCACTACACAGACTCCAAAGTGCACGTTTAAAAAGGGATCTTCTTTGGATAATTAAATGTTAAAATTAACATTGAAGCTCTATGTTTCACATGCTTATTTGCCTACGTTAACACTTGCACGCACACATAACTTACACACGCAGAACATCCACAGTGGCTAATTCTATCCTCTACATTTCTTAAGTTTCCTTAATTAATCTTATCCTGTTTAACAAACATTCAGGAATTGTGCAAAATGGGGAGAGAGAGCTAAAGGATTCAACATATATTTGCTACTAAATAAACACCCTTATGACCTATTGGTCTTATGACCTGTCATTTCATCCTTGAAATTTAAAAGCCTTTAATTTAAACAAATGCCTCAACATTTTAAAATTCAGCGATCACCCCAAAGAAGCAGCTTTAAATGACTTTTTCCTTAAAATCTGTGCATACACCATTACTACTGGGAAACTATATTATATGGCCTTTTATAGCACTGGCTCCAGAATCCGACTCCTTGGGTGCCAATCCACTCTCCACTATTTTCTAGTTACTTTCCCCTTCTCTTCCTTCATTTCCTCATCGATAAACCTCCTAAAGTTGTGAGAATTAACTGTGTTTGTGCATCTATGTAATGTTCTTAGAAAAGTGCCTGGCTCATATTAAATTCTTAATAAACACTTGCTAGTAGCAGAAATAGTTGTAGCAGCAGCAGAAGCATCATCATCATTAATCTTATTTATTCATAATTAAAATCAAAGAGCAATTTATGGTAGAGTATAACTTCATCTGCTAAACCCTGTTTGTTCTGATTTCTGGGAACTCTGTACATAAATATTCATGCATTTATAAAACTGTGTGTATATGTGTATGTGAGTGTGTGTGTGTGTTTTGAGATAGAGAAAAAAAGAGACTCTACAGTTAACTTCATAATTTCCAAATGTAAACTAAACATATGTAAAACCATAATAAATATTGATTTTTATCTTCACAGATATTTGTTTAACTGAGCAGAGCAAATGAAGAGCTCTTTCATTCAGTAACCAATCCAGGTAACTGTATAGTCACCAAAAACAAATACGCTATTTTCTACTCTCACACTGTCATAATGCCAAATAGGACAAAAAAATATCTTTTACTAGAAAAATTCAAGCTTTAAAGTGAATGATTTATGTCTCCAGTTTCACAGGATATGAATGAGATACACAATTATTTCCAAAGATTTTGGGGCTGCAGCTTCTTACTTTTCTTCTTATTAGTCAATAAACTCCTACTTCCATACCAGCAGAAGATTTACCTTAGGATGTCTCTGATAATAGCAGCACTTGTGGGACAAACCCGGCAGTCACCATATAAATGTTATATTTATATGTTGACTCAAAAAAAATAAGTTGACTACCTATGGCTTATTAGTCACACCACTAATAGTACATTTCTATTTGCATCACCCTTTATAACTGAAAGCCCTTTTGTATGCATTTGCTAATTTAATGATTGCAACGACTCTGTGAGAGAAGGTAAATGGTTCCAGGATAGATTTGAAGAAACTAACACGGAAAATGCCTAAAAACTTGTTCAAAATCACATGACTAAACATGAAAGAGCCTCAAGAGACTAAAAGGGCAAGCCACAGATTGAAAGACATTATTTGCAACAGACATATTTGATTAAAAACATGTAATACAAAACATACAAAGAACACTTAAAACTCAATAATAAGAAAACAACCCCAATCCAAAACTGAGGCAAAGGCCTGAATTGATACCTCATCAAAGAAGACATACAGATGGCAAATAAGCCTATGAGAAAATGCTTCACATTAACGTCATCTGAGAAATGCAAATTAAAACAATAAAAGGAGACTACTACATACCTTTTAGAATGGCCGATATCCAAAGCATACATAAATAATAATACCAAATGTTTACAAGATGTGGAGCAACAAGAACTCTCATTCATGGCTGGTGGGGAATGCAAAATGGTTCAGCCACTTTGGAAGACGGTTTGGCAGTTTCTGACAAAACTAAATATACTCTTACCATATGATCCAGCGATTGTGCTCCATGGTACTTACCCAAACAAACTGAAAAATCTACGTCTACACAAAAACCTGAACATAGATATTTCTAGCAGTTTTATTTATAACGTCTACAACTTGAAGGAAAGTTCAAGTTTTCAAAGTTCACCTTCTTCAGTAGGTGAATAAATAACTAAACTGTGGTACAACCAGACAATGGAATATTATTCTGTGATTTAAAAAAACCACACATAAGCTATGAAGCCAAGAAAAAACGTTGAGGGACTTTAAATGCATACTACCAAGTGAAAGATCTGAAAAGTCTACATCATGGTATGATTCTGACTATATGACATTCTGGAAAAGGCAAAACTATGGAGACAGTAAAATGATTAGTGCTTGTTAGGGTTTGGGGGAGCAGAGGACAGATAGGCAGGAGACAGGATTTTTAGAGCAGTGAATCTATTCTGTATGACATGTCTAATGATGAATACATGTCACTACATATTTGTCAGAACCCATAGAATATACACTAACAATGAGTCCTAAAATAAACTATGGACTTTGACTGATAATAATGTCAATTTAAGTTCATCAGTTGTAACAAACATACCGCTGTGGTGTGGAGTGTTTATAGCGGGGGAGATGCGGGGAGAGGGTGGACAGCGGACATATGGGAACTCTACTTTTGGTTCAGTTTGCTTTGAAACGGAGCAGAAACTGCTCTAAGAACTGCTCTAAAAACTCTACATAAAAGAGAAAAAATATATACTAACAGCCGAAGAGAAAACATTAACCACATACTAAATACCATGCTGTAAGCAAGGCTGGTCCTAAAACCAAAGCAGCCATATTCAACAGTCCTTGAACTTCTCAGCCTTAAGACTCAGCTGGTACTGTAGGGGTTATCACATGTACTGACCATCTAGAGCAATCCTTAATAATGGAGAAACCGTTATTCTATCTCCTCAGTGGTTCCTAAATCAACACAAAAATAATTCTAGAGAAGCTAGGCATCTGATACCTATCCCCTTTGCACTGGCTAGCTTCCTTCATTAAAAGGAAATTCAAAACAAAAAGGACTTAAACAACTAAAAAATGTATACATTTTAAAAATGAAGGAGCAAGGATGAAGACGTGCTTCCTTCCAGGGCAGGGTTCTTTTGGGGTTCCTGCATAATGATCAGGGCTGCTGGCCCTTATTTGATTAGGCAGATCATGGGCTGCATAACGAAGCAGGACAGTGGGGGCAGATTAGGGCTGAACCCAGCATGTGCTCCTACAGCCAAGCCTTGTGCCCAGATGAAAGCATTGTCTGCACAGGGAAGGAATCCTCTTTTTTAAGGTTCACAAGACATCACACACTAGCCACGCCATGGTGCCGGGCAGCTGCATTCCCCAGAGAAGGCAGCTTTTCTCTAATTTACACAAAGGAATCTTCTGAGGAAGTAATAGCCCAGCTATCAAAAGAGAAGTTTAATTTTAGTAATAATTAAGCAAGGATTAAACGGGCTCTTCCATGCCTAGTGGAATTAATTAAGTTTTAGACCAGGAAGCATTTAATATCTTCTAAAATCTAGATGATCATATTCAAGCTGTAATAGGACAGATACGTCCAGCTCTTATAAAGACTTCCCTTTGTTTTCTCTTTTTGTTTGTTGGTTGGAGTTTTGTTTTTTTTTTTTTTTTTTTTTTTTTTTTTTGGACTATTGGGAACACTTTTATAAATGGCCATCTCAAAACACTGTGTCAAAATAATCTATTTTACCATGAAACATTTACAACAAATATGTCCTTCATATTTGTTGCAAATCTGATCCTCACCTTATCTCTGCCCCAAGTCCATCACTGACTATCATGATCCACACCAAACTGAAAACAGCCTTGTCAGAATGTAAAAGGACTCATTTATACTATCAAATAATATATGCAACAAGTCCTTGATACTTTTACCCACTTCATCACTAATCCCTTCTCAAGAGGTAGAGTGAAGGCAGTGGGATAAGGCTCAGGAATGGAGCGAGAATACCATTTTTCACGTTACTTAATAACAAAATTGTAAAAGACCAAAATTTTAATTTTTAAAGTCATCTAAAAAGGTTCCCAGATCACAGTAGCTTTGCTGAGAAGCCCAGTGCTCTAATCAGACTTAAAAGAGAATTCAGCATTTCTACCATCTCGGATCTGTCCGTTTGTTCAACTTATAGTATTTTTGAGGTATTAAAACAAATTAGGGATATATATATATATGCTGCCTATTTTATTACACATGTAATATGCAATCCTCTCTCTCAATAGAAAACTACAATTTTATCATTTCCGTTTCTGAAGTGGAGATTACCATCAGCATCTTGAATGAGAAAATCAGACTAAGTGTTCATATCCCTTCCTCATGGATCTCAGCCAGAGAAGTTTCCAGCTCACTCACCTTTGGGTTCGTGTGATTCATCATCACTGTCCGAGCTATCATTACTCACAATATGCTTTGTTGTAATATTTTCTGTGAAAAAGAGACAAAACAATTGAAGCATCTTAGGTGTCAAAATTCACAAATTTATTATAAAGAAGTAATCTGAGCAAAACCACAGAATGAGATCTACTAGCTCTGCTAGTATACATTTAAATCCATTTAATAAATCTAGATTTATTAGATTTAATCATGTTTTCAGATTTCTCACCAGAAACAAAATTTCCTAGGACATGAAAAATTAGTTTATATTTATTAATTCATGATTTAAAGAGGATAATTTTTATGTTAATCATAATTCCAACAAAAAGCACAACCTGATTATAGGAAGCTCTTGTTATACCAAAAAATACTTGTTTTTCTTCCTTATTTTTAAGTGGTGTTTATGAAGGTAGAGGAGAAAACCAAAACCTACAGGGGAGCTACAGAACAGTTTTCTTAAAATGAATGAAAGATGCTAACAAATTATCTTTTGATTTTCAATAATATTGTAAATTGTCAGTTGAAATTCACCTTTTGGTGTCAAGAATTTGTGCTTTCTGCAGAACATATTAAGAAAACAGTTATAAAAACTAAAATAACAACCAGAAATCCTTAAAACAAAGACAGCAGTAAAATCTAGCATGATTACTAGTTGTCTTTTTTCTTTATTTTTTTAAAAACGGTTACCCAGGCTGGGCTGCAGCAGCATGATCTCTGCTCACTTCAACCTCTGCCTCTGTGCTCAAACAATCCTTCCACTGTAGCTCCTGAGTAGCTGGGTCTATAGGCATGGACAATCCTACTTGGCTAATTTTTTTATTTTTATTTTTTGTAGAAATGAGGTCTCACTCTACTGCCTCGGCTGGTCTCAAACTCCTCCACCCAAGCAATCTTCCTGCCGTGGCCTCTTAAAAAGCCAGGATCATAGGCATGAGCCACCGTGCCCAGCCTAGTTGTCTTTTTTCAAGTAAAATGTGCAAGGATGACCAAGGGTATGTAATGGAAGGGTTAATAAATGCTTAAGGCAGTGGACTGACATTTATTTTTTAAGTTTTTACTGGCATGACTATACATACATTTGATAAAATGTTCACAAGCCAATATTATTGGTTTCATTTCATGACTATTATCAATAGTAATTTTGTAACATGGAGGTATGGGAGATGTTAAGGAATGATCTACTCCAGGTGCCATATACATTACGTGTGTTTCTAAGCCTACATGTATTTTGTTTTCCTTCCTTATGCATTTTCTTTCTTCCTTTCTCCCCTCCATTCCTTCCTTCCTTTCTCTTTTTCTCTTTCTTTCTTTCTTCCTCTCTTTCTTTCTTTTCTTTCTGTCACATTTGATAGTTTGATTTAGTTCACCAAAATAGTGTCTTATTTGTAAGGAAGAACTTCATATGAATAGCTAACTATTTTGAATTTACATGTTTTTCATCCTAGTATAATGTACAACTCTGTCTCTCAAAAGTGTAAAATTTTCACATTCATTCAAAACTCCTCAGAGAGTAAATAATTTCATTCAGAGTTACCTGACTGTAGTCCAATTTACCTTAAAGTCTTTCTTCAGAAAGAAGAAAACAGAAAAGCAAAAATCATCTCTGAACACTCCTTTAGGAGATAGACGTCAGTCAGCCAAAGGATAGAGTAGTCACCAGGAGTCCTCAGAGTCCTCTCAGTCACCTCTCTGGTTTCATTTCTGGAAATCCTTACTTAATCTGAGGTAACATGCTTCCTGCCGACTGGCGGATCACACATACACGATATTCCCCCTCAGTCTGACACACAGTACGAGTAAATAGGCTGCCAGACTGCTGGCCTCTGAGGAAACTTCTCAACAAAGAACCTTCTCAAAACTACTTAGTATAAACCTCCTCCTTTTCCTTGGCCTTTAGCCACTGTCTCACCCACATTCAGATATGTTATTTCAGTCCTATTCTCTTCCTGCCTTAAGAAGAAAAAAATAACAAACCCTAGGTTATCTGGGTTATTCAACAGAGGAGAACAGGAAGCAAGCCTCAATATGTGATCTTCTCTTTCTTCTTTTATTTTTTTCTTAAAATCTTCCCATAATTTAGAGAAAGGGTTTGTTATTTCCACAAAGAGTTGAGAACAGGACATTCATCTGGCATATAACATTCATTAAATAAGTCAAGGAAGATCATTTTATCATGATACACTTTGCCTTGCAGTTACCGGTAAGAGAATGTGCCCCACAGTACGTGTCACAGCAGGCCCATGAGTGCCACCTACCTTGTCTGCTCATTAACTGGGTGATGAGCAGAGGACAGTAAGTAAACAAGCACAAGGTGCCTTGTTTGTTTGTTTTTATTTTTATTCCAATGAAATTATAAGATCACTTTTCCACTATTCATCAAGAACTAACCAAAAATACAAATGATGCTCTTGAAAATATTATGAACTATAGGAGTTTACTGCACTAAATATACATACCAAATAAATTATCATATAACTAAAATCAATTCTTGTAGGCACAGTGGTAATACTGCTTATAAGCCACCTTAATGTTCAAATTAATGTTACACTTGTATTCTCTTTTGCATGTAAACTTAATTAAATCAACTGGCATTGCCTGAGATACCACGTACAGCTTGTTTAAAATTCCTGCAGTAAGCTTTTTGTATGTGAGCATTCTTCAAGTAAATTAATTATTTAAAAAGTCATCAATGTTATTCTGTCAACTCCTCTGTTCTCAGATAGATCTGTGCTACTTCCCAAATACAGAAGAGATAGTAGGTAGCTGTGCTGATACTCCCATCAGGTGCTTCCCCTGACCCCTGCTGTTAGGGCTCCAAATTCAGATTTAGCATTCCACCATTTCTTTATGCTATCAGTCAAAACAGTCAAAACAAAAATTAGTGTTGATTAAAATACAGGTGGCAAGGCTTTTGGAAGATACTGAAGGTAATTTTTTTTTTTTGGCTTTTAGCCAAAATTTATTCATTTAAGAAAACATGTTTCTATGGTATTATTCTTATAATGAATGAAAACCACTGGTCCCAGTTGAGATTGTCTGCTTTCTCAGGTTTTGTGAATATTTGTAATTTATTGTAGGCTAATGGGTTAGATTTAATGAAAATCATTAGTTTAAGTTTACTAGAGGTAATATGATTTTTTTTTCCTTCTTTTGGATATAGATTAGTATAAGATGCTAACAGAATTCCAATGAGTTAATGTTGAAGGGTTAAATAAATTGTGGCAAGCATAAACTTAAGTGTTACACTGTATTTAGCTGTTGGTGAATCTAATCTTTAAAAAGCTATTCTTATTTGATAAAAAGAGGACTTTCTAATAAAATAATATGTTTAGCAGTATAATGAGAAAAAGGAATAGAGTTGTGTTCTATTAAAAATTACTCTTAGGAATTAATGATTTTTATGAGTTCTATAAACTCAGTGTCAAAATAACACTTAAGAGGTAACTTACATATTTTAGGAAATGTTTAGGTTGAGTCAACCAAATTATTAATAAATTTAGAATAATTAAAATACTTACAAATATTTAATATTCTAGCTATATATGTTAATAAAATGTATCAATGTAGCAAGATTTTTATCAATGTAAGCACATCTTTAGGATACCTAATTCTTCCTCCATTGTGGAGCCTCTACTTTGTGAACCAGAAACGCCCAAAACTCTGTTGAACAATATGGAAAATGCACTGCCCCAGACACCTAAAATAAAGGAGAAACAGAGAATAACTTAAAAATGTACCAGGATTTAAAATGGTCAAACAAATCAGTGATAATATGTTCATTTTGATCACTTACCCATTAAGAAATGCAAAGGGTTTTCTTCATACTTCTTAACAACTGTTCCCATAAAAAATTTGCTTCCAAATAAGTCAGGAGCCATAAAAGTACCATATTTAGCCATGCCAATTTCGTATGGACTAAATTCAACCCAATCTGAAAGCATTTTAGAAACAAGGCAATCCATTAATAGGGAAATGCTCTAGCATGGTGTACACAGCTAATGATCACTCTAATAATGTTATGCTTATTCTCATTCATTTATTGAAAATGTTGAAATGAAAACATTAGCCAAATGCCCATTACGTATATGACACTGTGTAGAAGTTGGGGGAAAAACGCTTAGAGGTGAATACGACAATACAAAAAGATGCCTTCTAATTTGCAGAAATTGGTTACACTTTTCTATTTAAAAACTCAGATGTCTTTTTGAAGTCAGTTTTCATTCTATAGAATAGAAAACTGAAAACTGCTAACTAGATATAAATTTCATGGAGCAGACAGAAGAAATTAAACTCTTTGTTAACATTACAAGCAGTCTATTAAAATGAAATAAAATGTTTTCTAACATTTACCTTTTCTTCATCTTTAAATTTTGCTTACTAGCCACCTATTCTAACTCCACAAGATTGCAATACAAAGCTTTTAGGTTGAATGCCTTAGAAAAACATGGTAATAATGTCAGTGATGTATCCTGTCTAAGAGCAGGGGCTCTGGAGCCGGACTGTCTGGGATCAAATCCCATGCTGCTGCTTACGAACTGTGCTTACTGACTTGGGTACATTATCCTCTCTCTGTCTTAAGTCCCTAATCTGTAAAATGTGAATAAAATTAGTAGATAGTGTATAGGGTTGTTTTGAAGATCCAATGAGTTAAGAAATATAAGCAGCTTAGAAGAGGGCATAGCACATTTCAATTTCTCAATAAATAGTGGCCACTTTATGTTTCACATATCCCCATGGCTATAACTGTGTCTAATTGTCATCTGCATCTTAATGTCTTCAGCAAGAACTCCTGGCTTCTGATTCCCATTTTCTACACTTGCCACTCCTTCATTCTTCTTGTTGGTAAAGGGTACTATTATTCATACTCACTTTAGGATGACCCTTGATGGTTCTCTTTCCTTATAGCTTACATCTAAAAAATCAGTGCTGTAGGCTCTATCACCAGGTATGTTTAGAACCTGGTCACCTATCCATTTGCCCGCCGTGACCATACTGATACAAACAGCTTTATTCTCTCTCTTGAACCTTCACGATAGCCTCCTAAAATGCTTCTACTCTGTTCACCTATTACCTTTGTGATATCCCATATCCAGAAGAAATCTTTAAAAATATAAATTACAGCACACCAGTGTCATCTGAAAGCTTCCCATTACAC